CTAACCAGTATTTTCGCCCCTTCCCAAAATTACTTCAACGGAAGGTTTCCAGATGGATATGCGGAGCAAATCCATCTGTCGGAGTCAGGTTAGCTCATGCTAGGTTCAGGCCACAATTAGCAGAGGCAGCAGAAGTAGCAAGTTTACATGCAAAGTCAATGGTTGACGTGCAACAAGGCGCAGCAAAAGGTCCTGAAGCACGTTTTGAGAAGAAGGAGCAGAGCCTCATGAGCTACTGGGCATCTGAGGCTCATGACGCACTTCAGAAGCAGCAGCTGCTGGAGATAGAAAAATTGAACTTTTGCTGCTGGATGCACCACATTAACAAATCAGAGAAGCTGATCTGGGAGCTGGCAGGGAGTCAGACGCAGCACTGCTGATGCAGAGCGGTATGATCACTCCTCTGAAACAGTTTATTAACACCTAAATTAACTTAAAATGTAGAAACCTGCCGGCAGAATAGTTTTGCTTTTATTATTCTTGTGCCTGCAGTTTGGATTAGGTGCATGAAAACCACCTTCCAGCCGCCGCGAACAGTAGTGGAAAACCACAATGAGGTGATCGGGCCAGGGGCTGCTGTTGAACAGGATTCCCAGATGAAGTTTTCAGGTGGACTTTCTCACTTTAAAACATATTAAAACTGCACACAAGGAAAGGATAGGGTGGCGCCGTCCAACGCGCATCAAACCTACTTTACGTCCGCGCAGCTAGAGCAGCAAAGATGCTTCAGCCGCGCATCAGAACTAAACTTATACAAGCATAAAAAATGAAGCGTGTTTTTGCTACCTCTGCTGCATGCAGTCCGAATGTAGCATCAGTTTTTCCTTGCTGCAGTCGTATTAAAAACCATCAGAAAAGTTTTAATTTTCACCGTAAAAACAGTTCTTTAAGTGAAACAGTTTTTTTTTTTGGGCCAATTGGCCATTGTATTCCAATTACTCAGGTCCATAAAACATTTTACGATCTGGTTCTATCTTTGATAGAAATAAATAAATCTGAAGGTTCCAGGTTCTGCATGTAAACATAGTTAGAAAATCCAGCTTCAGAGGTTGGTTGGAGGACAATTATGAACATAGAACAAGTTCAATACAGTTAGGTCATAAAATTCTTTCCTTTTGAAAATCTTAAGCAATGCTCTAAGAATACGGGGTAATAGCCCACTGATAAGGCTGAGTGTGTTTCAGGGTGCTGAAGTTTTCAGAAATGATCCCCCTGACCAGCTGGTGGGACATGTCGGGCCTTTTATACATACATGGTTCCTGAGGTGGTTGGGACGATGGGGATGTCTTCAGCCTCCATGGGGATGGACCAGGGGATGTGCAGTTGAGGGGCTAGCTCTCTCATCACCATGTTCCTGTTGGATGTCAAATTTATTCACACAGCAAATCTTAACAATCAACATCCAGAATCAAAACATCACAAACAAAATACTGTGGTAAAAACAAATAAAAGCACAACGGAGACAAGATTTCTAAGAACTATCAAGCGATGCAACTTTCTGCTTCCTCTTATTATGCAGCGTTATGTTTTAAGTTCCCAACTACTATGAGTCATAAATGAGTTGGACATCACCCACCCCAGGACTTTGGCACAGTCGTCGTAGTACTTCATGGAGTTCTTCACGAAACTGAAGCCGTTAACGTCGCAGACGTAGGAATGGCCGTTGGCTCGCAGCAGATCGAATCCGCACACGGTTTGCTTTAAAACAGGATGACATCAACTGTTCATTTCTCACACATCTTTATAGTGTGAACGAGTAAATGCTCAACAAAAAGCACGACGGCGGGATCATTTGAAACAAAGACGGGGTAGAAAACCCTCCGGAAGGATCTAGAGCAGAGATCTGCTAAACTTATTCTGCACCGCCACCATAACATTCAAATTTGGAAAGAGCCATAATAAAAATTCAATAAAAAGCAAAAAAAAAAATCGATCTAAGATTTGATATTTTTAGAATCTAATATTTAACCTTTTACAACAGAAGAAGCTGAAAGATGAAAAACGACAACAGATCACCTAAAAATACAGCACATGTTAAAGTAAAATAAGAAGAAATAAAATAATTCTTAAAACTCTGGTAATACGCTGTTAAAGATATTATATGCATAATGCATGATATCCAAGATGCCTCAATAGGTAAATTATTGGGTTTGGTCAGAGCCACAGTGAAGGGGGCAAAGAGCCACAGGTCTAGACAGAGGAAGAAAAAAAAAAACAGCTAGTAAGGGTGCTATGTGAATGTGAGACCTGGTTCTCTTGTAGAAATCATATCCTATCCTATAATTAAGATCTGAGTTACCAAATAGTTTCAGAGCTTTCAACAAAACTGCTGCATCAACACAGAATGATAAAGCAGCACAGGTGGAACATTAGAGGGTTCCTTAGGTTCCAAAGCCTGCTCCTCAGGGACCCCTGTACTTCATGTTTTAGGTGTTTACTTGTTTTATCACACCAGAAAAGAAGAAATTATCAACAGGCTTCTGTCGCACTTACAGTAGTAGCCATTCAAAATGTCCCCACTTTCCTTGATGGATCCTTGGCTGCTCCCCTACAATTCCTTTTTAAACATCTATCTTAGTACTAAAATATTCTATCTTAGTACTAAAATATTCTGTCATAATTTGTGGACATTAAGATCTAAAGAGAAGCATCATCTCCTTGTCAGACCCTGTAATTCACTGAAAGGGTGGAGTCAGAGTAAAAAAATATGCAAGAGGGTGTCACTCTATTGTAGGGCCCTATAAAATCAGTTTTATTTTTTCCCAAATTCCGTTTTTTTCCGTTTTAATTTTTGAAAATTCCGTTTTTTCCATTTTACCTTTTGCGAATTCAGTTTTTTTTACCCTTTACTGTTATTTCAGTCGTAAAAAGAATTTGATTTTAATGTTAATGATTAAAATGTACACAAATAAAATAGGAATGACCTTAAATTAATTAAGGTAAAAAAACACATTTACTCAGTACTTTTACTGCATGATGCAACATAACACAGCACTCTAAGTACTAACAAAATATTAATGGTTATGAACCAATGGTTATAAATAAAAGTGCTCCATTAGCTTTTTCAAGTAAAAAAATAAAATAGGACCTCTCTACTTCTCCTTGTTCTTCACACAGATTTTGGATGACCAGTGGTCAGTGCATGTATTTTTGTGCTTCCAATCAATGGAATGTTGACAAAACAATAGTTCACCTGACACGTAAAAGTCACGAGGGAACTGCTCGGCTCTGTACTCAGGGCTTAGCCTCGTGTTTCTCAACTTTTTCGCCGAAAGCGGAGCTGTGGAGAGCCGCTTCGCCATTTTTTCAATGTTTTGATGGGGGAGGGTGAGCGGAAATGACGGAGCGGGAGGGGTTGTGTTGCCCAGATTTGCGTCCCCTGGTGTGCATTTCCCCCTGACATACGTTCTTCTCCCACACAAAAACAGAATTTCATTTCAAATGTAGAAATTCCGCATTTACACTAGATTCTGCGTTAATTTGCCAATTCCGCGATTCCGTCCGCGATTCCGTGATCACGGAAATTATAGGGCCCTACTATTGGCTGGAAGTTGGAGGGGATATTGCTGGGAGTTGCAGGGAAGCGGGCTGTCATTCGGCTGAGAAGGGCCATTTTGAGTGGTTGCTACTGTAATACCAGAAGAGGCCTAACTTGGCTCAGGTTTGTTGGAACAGAGATGTATCTAAAACATGCAGGGTAGGGGTCCCTGAGGACCAGGGGGGAAACATCTTTCTTAAGATGTAAAAAAAAAAAGAAAAAAGTAAAGGCCTGCAGGCCAAAAACGGACCGTCACAATAAACCATCCAAAGTAGAGGCGCATGTTCTTTAAAAATAAACAAAGTGGCTAAAAGAGTAAAATAAATGGGAGCAAAATTAGCTCAGGATCATTTAATCCCATTATTCTAGTTACTTCATATAGATTTTATATGAAAGGAAACCCAGCTGAGGGCAGACAGGAAGTGCTGAAACAAAGGGTAATATCCAGGTACCTTGAAGGCGAGGCAGACCTTGCGGGCCACCAGCTTCTCCATGGCGGTCAGCATGACGGGGTAACGGATCTCCTTCCCCTCGCTGTCTCTCTCCACCTTACCATCCAAAGCTGGAGACTTCCTGGCCTCGGCGTGGGCGTAGTCTGGGCCCACTGTGTAAACCTGAGATCAACGGGTAAGCCATGCAGGTAGAGAACCATTTTAACCATCTTACAAATGGGCATTTATGCACAGATCCACTGTCATCTGATATTGTAAAATAGAGAAAAGGGAAGGGTAACATCCTCAGCACCTTAACGTCGGTGCCATCTGTCGGCATGAACTCCTCATAAATATAGGATCCGGTTTTTCGCACACTGCTTTCTGGAGAGTAGACACTGCTGCGACTCCCGATCTACAACCAAAACATGGCTTTAAACACAGAGAAAATCACAGGGAGTTTCCTACAAGTTACATGAGTAAAAAAAAAAAAAACACCAAGGCCTCATTAAAAAAATCCATGATGGTTCTGGTTAAAGGGAAGTCTGTTTTAGGCGGAACTATCAACTAGCTTCCAAGGTGGGATTTTATCCAGAGAAGCAAAGCTGTTTATTCCAGTCCAGTTTATTAGAAGTAATTGGGCATAAAAAAAAGATAAAAACTAAAAAAAAAATTTATTTCAGGATTTAATCTCAGAACTATTCTCATTCTTATATAAATATGACTACTTGTAATATTCCTATATCATTAAGGTGATAATCCTGGGTTATGTCAATAAAGTCCTACGTAATCTGACTATAAATCATGAAATTAAAAGCTGTGATTCAAAGAGTCAGAATGCTGAGATTAAAAGTCGTGAGATTAAGTCAGAGTTTTGAGATTAAGTCAGAACTAGATAGCTTTTTTTTCCCCTCAAAGGATTTGCCTACCGTATTTTCACAACCATAAGGCGCACCGTACTAAAAGGCGCACTCTAAGTTATGTGTGCCATTTCTGTATTTAACACACACATAAGGCGCACCGGACTATAGGGCGCGTTTTTTATATACCGGTACATGTCCTCTACTACCTTTAAATACCTCTACTGCGTATTTAAAAATACAGCGGGGGCAAAACTGAGTATGACTGTGCTTTATTCATGTATTTATTACAAAGTATTAATCAAACCTGGGTGCTGGCCGTGAGACAGACACATCGCAGATGACACAGCGCTGTGATCACTCCTAAATTAACTTAAAATCCTGAAACCTGCCGACGGAATTTGTTCGCTTTTATTACCGGTATCCTGGTGCCTGCAGTTTAAATTATTTAGATGAAAAACACCTGCCAGCCACCGAGGTGAACCCAGAGGCTGCCCAGCCTAGAGGCTGCTGATGAATGGATTTCTGCTGTCGGTGCACCGCTGGTATGTGGGGGTCTGAGCGCCTCCGACAGAAATAGATAATCTGGATGAACTGACTGCAATTATGAAGTTTTCAGGTGTATTTTCTCACTTAAAAACATAATAAAACTACTTTATTCCCACTGATCACAGCAAATATAGCTGCAAGATTTAGATTATTTAGATGAAAAAACACCTGCCGCCCAGAGGCTGCTGTTGAATTAAGTTTTCAGGTAGAAAAATAGAGCGGGAGCAAAACTGAGTATTATTGTGCTTTATTCATGTATTTATTACAAAGTATTAATCAAACCCATCAAAGTCATCATCCTCTGTTTCTGAATTAAACAGCTGCACTAAATCAGACATGCCAGTTTCCCCTTCTGCGCTGTCAGAGTCACTTTCCGTGCAGCGCATCTCCTCAGAAATAATGCCTTTTGCGAAAGCTTGAACAACAGAGCCAGCAGACACGTTAGTCCATCAACAATCCATCCGCAAACGGTGGCGTAACTTGCCCGGCGCTGCCTTCCACTTATCCTGAAACTGTGGTCTCCGTCTGTCATCCATCGCTCCCACGCCACTCGCAGCCTTACTTTGAACGGCCGGTTCACACCGATGTCGAGCGGTTGAAGTTCCTGTGTCAGACCCCCGAGATAACGGCGAGCACAGCGTTTATTTTTTTTCACCATGTTTTTCACATCAGCTGTGAGATGGGCACGCATGGAGTCACATATTAAAAGCGATGGTGATGCGTGGAAAAAAACCACCTGGTCTCCTCACATAGCCTACACCTCCCTCAGCCGCGCTTTCATCATCTCCTCATCTATCCAGCCTTTTTCATTTGCTTTAAAATCATATGTCATCAGAGCGCTGTGTCTGTCTCGCTGTCAGCTCCCAGATCAGCTTCTCTGATTCGTTGATGCGGTGCATCCAGCAGCAAAACTTCAATTTTTTCCATCTCGAGCAGCAGCAGCGCGTTGGCGGTGCGCTCCCGACTCGCTCAAAACGCGCTGCGGGACCTTTTGCTGCATCTATACGCTCGTCAACCGTTGACTTTGCATGAAACCTCGCTGCTTCTGCTGCACCTGCTGCGTCCGGTTCACAGCGAGCACAGCATTAATTTGTTTCACCATGTTTTTCACATCAGCTGTGAGATGGGCACGCATGGAGTCAGATTAACAGCGATGGTGTGGTGATGAGTGGAAAAAAAAAACACCTGGTCTCCTTACATTCAGCCACTCTTTTATCATCTCCTCAATGAGGTGGTCTCAAAAGTCGCAGTTGCAACACACATAGGGCGCACCGCACCATAGGGCGCACCGCACATTTTGAGGAGAAAAAAAGACGTTTATGTGCGCCTTATAGTCGTGAAAATACGGTAAATCTTGTAATCAAGGTTAAATAGTTTGGAAATGTTCATTGGTTTTTATTTTATTTAAAATAATAACGTAAAAATAATCCCAGATAAGTATTACATTATGTTGCACGTAATGTGGGAATTTTCAGAACAGCGAAAAAAGCACCAAAAGTAACCTGGACCTCATATTAATGCACTATAAAGACAGTAACAAAAGCTGAGAAACAGTTTCTCTTAGAAACCCAGTTATTTTAAATTAGTTTTGTAAACTCATTAGTTTCAGTTAGCTTTTTATCTTTAGTTGTATTTTTGTTTCGTTTAAGAAAATGATTTTTTTATTCTACTTTTCGGCAGGTTTTAGGTGACCATAATAATCTTGCTCATAATCTAGTAAACTGGTGCTTATCTTAAGGATGATAATCCACCAGATGTAAACGTAGTGTTTAGTATATCATTGCTGTTATAAACAAACGTGCGTTTCATTATAGTTTGCCCAGCTCTAAATAAAGAAGGTGCCTTCAGACGGAGCGTGGTGGCGTTAGCAAGGGTGGTGGATTCACATAGTAACTGTCTGCAAACTGTGCAAGGAAGCAGCGAGCGGCGAATCGCACACAGTGACGGCGGTCCCTGCTCCGCCCCCGCCTCGTGATACTAGCCAGCGGCGCCACTAAAGAGAGAGCAACTGTGATCTCTGAGGTTGAAAAAGCTTATCTTTTCTATGAAATAGTATCGCTGCATCTAATCTGGGACAGGTTTTTGTAGATTAAAGAAGTGCACCAGAGGCAAAGCTTATTTCAGTTTAAATATAGAGAAAATTATGTTAAAAGGTAGAAATAAGGAAGAATCTGTAGAGCAGATTTAAAAATAGGCCATTTTAATTGGCACTGCTCCTGCTTCTTCCTTACTTCCAGCAGACACCCCGGTCTGTGGCTGCATCTCCCACGGCCAGATTTACAAGGAGGTACCACTGAATCCGACCGTCATCCTCTGTGAGCTCTTTTTTTTTTTTTTTTTTTTATGCGCTTCAGGGCTTTAACAAAACTTAATGTTAGCCCCGGTAACAAAAGTTGATCATAGAGAAAAATCTGGCATTAGTCCGGGATGTTATGTTTCAGCTGTGCTTTCATTGTGAAATGCTGACAGACAGCAAGATCTTGACAGAAAATGCAATGGGGTTGCCAGGGTAACGGCAGGTCCAACGCAGACGGTCTGGGAGGCTGTCGATTAACTAGATATTAAACAATCATTCCAGACACTAAATAAGATCAACATGCCAACGGTTATATTCAATACCAGCAAAACAATGACATGTGATGGTTTGCAGTAACTTTATATCAGGAAAAAAAGCACAGCACTAACATCTGCAAGGACTGCAACGTCATTAACTGTGATAAAATATGATCTTAAATCATTTTTTATTAAATCAATCTTAAAAAACAAATCAGCAAAAATGACAGTTTTACCTAAGCAGCTGAAACAGTAGATAATTTTTATTAAATTTGACTATTATTATAACTATTCCGTATATTCGCTCTAGTTTTTTCACGTGGGAGGAGCGTCAGCTGAAATTCCTACTATTTGATGACGCGGTCCAGGTTGTAAACGCAGACAGTGCAGAGCGGTGAACTCCCTGCGGGGCTTGTGCAAATCACCACGACCACTGCGGTGAGTCTGTACGCAGCATAACAGCGATGCTGTCGCCTGGTTCCCCTGAAAGCAGCTACCTTTCTGAACAGCCTCTGGCTGCCTCCACCAGCAGACGTTGGGTAGTAGATGTAGACGTTGTGGTCCTCCGCGCACACAGGTTTCTCCACAAAGGGTTTAGGAAACACCTCTCCGTTCACCTCCACGTGGTCCTCCCCCTCCACCAGGCTGCACTCTGCAAACGGCAGGTTGAAGAGTTAAAAGTCACGTCGTCAGGAAATCTTTCCAAATGCCCTCACCTCCAAACACGAAGGAAATCCAGAAGATTTTTTCAAATATTGTAATAAACTGATTATAAACGGCTGCAATGCAAGCATTTCTGAAAATACCAAATTTAGTTAAAGATTTTTTAAAAACGTATTTTGAGTGTTCTTCTTTCTTAAGGATAACTGGGATAATTGTCACCTGCAGGATTGTCAGGGTCCCGGTTTAACACGGCGTAACGAGGCAGGTCGATGCCTTCCTCCTGAAGGATCCGATACACTTCCCTCCTGTCATCAAATGACAGCGCCAGGGCGTTACAAGACAAGAAAGTTCATCATTTTCCAGACAAAAAATATAAAAGGACATTAAAACCTTTACAGGTAAGAATCTGGTAAAAGAATAAAAAGAAAAAATATGCATGAATGAGTATGGAACAATTAAAGTCTTTTTTTTTAGACATAAATTTTAACCCTTTATAGGGCATGATCACCTGCATACCCCTTAAAAAAATGGAGTCCCCCCCCGTCCCTCAGTGAGGTCTAGAAGCACAAGATCTATATCCAACCATTTAGCAAAGATCCTGCTACATGCCTGCACAGCTTATTTTGGCATTTGACCAATTAGATGAGCCCTTGAATGATATATTACCTACTGGAAATTAAGTTGGAAAAAAAAGTTAACAAGTCAAGAAGAAGAAGAAGTCAAAAAAAGCTAATTAAAAAGTTAAAAAGTAAATTAAAAAAGTTAATAAGCCTCGTTAACAATTATAAAAATGTAAGTGGCAGTTTTAGCAGGAATGCCTCTAAGGTTATGTTGGACAAAAAAATTGTGTTTTTCATGAATTTCTTATAGAAGCACTTTGGTTCTTTTTCTTAATATATTCGGGCAAGTTGGCGTTTCTTGTTATTACATTGACATTCATTTTTGGAATCAAAACATCCATATTTTTGAATGTTACAAAGGTTACAAAGGTCTTGTCCTGAATTCCAATAACACTTTTGGCTTGAAATTTTGATTGAATTGAATCGGAATGAAACAATAACATTTTATAAAGACAATTCAACCTAAAAAAAATTCAGTTTCAAATGCGTTGCCCTGGTGGCGTCTCGTTCCAAAACAATCGGCACTAGATGGATTCTAGCTGCTTCCATCAGATTACGCTCATTTGATCACCTGAGCCAGCAGTGCTATGGGCAAAGGTGACCATTACAAAACAGCTACTAATAGACAACCATTACAGTTTTATCATCTCTTTTATCCAATCTAACTAAAGACATAAACTTCGCTACCAGCTAACTGTTAATAAACTCATCATCCGATTGGTTCAAAGCTACCTACTCCATCTGTAGCAACGCCTCAGTTCAGCCTCACACAGCTCCATCCTGCTCATCCTGTTGGTCCAGAATCCCTTCATCTCCATGTTTGCATCATAGCCAGAAGCAAACATTTTGAGCTGATCCAAATTTATCTATTATATATGTTTATTAAAATTAGCTATTTTAATCTGTGCCCCTCTAGAGGTTCTGTCGAAGTATTATTTTTGAAAATTACTTGTTTTGCCTGAAAAAGTTTGAAAATTCTTCCATAAAGAGATATATTCCTGTATTTCAGTTACTAATGCAAATAATCTTATGGTAAAATGTAATTCTTTCCTTGAAATAATTTCTTATTGAGCTTTACTAATGTCAAAAAAAAAAAAAAACAGGGCATTGGGTAAAAGAGTAAATAACTGGATTATTTCAAACAATTGTTTTGTCCAATCATAGTCCAGCATGGTACAGACTTGGGTCTTTAAAAAAAAAAAGGTCAATATATCTCCTGTAATCTGGAGAGATCACTTTCCTAAAAACAAAAACAAAAAATATTCATTGGATCAAAAGGATTTTTTGTTTTTGGCTTACCGGTCTTGAATGAAATATTGCATGTTGAGGTCATTGATGAGCATTGGATTCCTTAGCTTCACATATTCCACAGCTTTGTCAAGAGGAAAACCTGAAAACCCCAAAATACTTGGATTTTACTTCTACTTGAATTAGTACAGTAAATTTTACCTGAAAAACAGAGATTTAAGATTTTAGCTACTGACTGCATAGAATCTACCATGCCATGTTTTTACAGCTTAATGAGAACCAGTAACCAGTAATAGTGCTGCATAAAGACAAACACTTATTTGCTTGTTTATGAGGTTTTATGAGTTAAAGTTTGTGTTGGACAAAACCTTAGCTTCCCTCTTTCCTGGAAACAGTGAAGTTCCCTTATCTCTCTAAAAAAAACAACACCCAATGTTTAAAATAGGGTGGAAAACACTGCATGTGACAAACTGCAACGTGAGTTATTGTTTATTACCACAGCCTGGTTGGGTGTTATGCCCCAAGCTAAGCTAATAAACGTGTTTATCTTAGATAAACACATTTATTAGAGCAATCAGGTCAAGGCAACAGTTGTGTAAAATAAAAATAGGATAAAACTGGAACCTGGGTTAGCTGTTTTCCAAGCACAAAAGCCCAAGAAGACCTGCTTTTAGTCAGGATGCTACTCTGAATAGGAGAGTGAGACTTTGGGCAGATAACAGTAAGGCTGAGTTACAGCAAAGGTCAGAATTAAGCTAGTAGTAGAAGCAGCTGTAGGAGGAGATGATACCATTGGAATGCAAAGCAATGGCTCAGTTGTTAAATGAAGCTATAACACATTTTTTCATATCAATGTGGCCTGAAAGAGGCAGTTAGCCCCCGGTTCTGCTGGGATGTAATGGAAGCTAAAGTTGTTTTCATATTTTCAATTCAATTCAGTTTATTTCTTTAGCACCAATTCACAACACGTCATCTGAAGGCACTTTCCAGTTCACCAGATCAACCAATCTGATTGACTCAAAGTTTTCTATCTAAGGAAAACCAGCTGATTGCATCGACTCATTGACTCTTCAGCAATCCCTCACACTANAACCAGCTGATTGCATCGACTCATTGACTCTTCAGCAATCCCTCACACTAAGCATGCTTGTAGCGACAGTGGAGAGGAAAATCTCCCTTTGAACAGGAAGAAACCTCCAGCAGAACCAGGCTCAGTGTGAGCGGCCATCTGATGAGGATGACTGGGGTTCAAGGAGACAGAAGCAGAGATACAGAAAGAATCAGAGATACAAAAGCCAACTTTAAAAATGGCTTTCAGGTCGTCTGCATGGTTGGATCTGATTTCTCACATCTTCTTTTTTCTCCATGCCTCACAGATTCACTAACAGGTTCAGGTCAGGCCATTTAGTTGGCAGACTGACAAAGCCACAGCTCGGTCATTAACCAAGCTAATGACATCTTTAGCACCGTGGGCAGGTGCCAAGTCCTACTGGAAAAAGAACTGCCCGTAAAACATTTTTATTTCCATCCACTCCACTTTATAAAGATGTATCTGGACACAACCAGCCTCCATAGCAATGAGCTCAGTGGAGCGAGTCCTTTTTCTGGGCATCTGTCCTTCATTTTGAGGCTTACAAACTTAGCGTTTTAGGGTAACATGAGGGTCTAATTTGAGTTTGCAATATTATGTTATTTCAATCATTTTTTTGCAGGCAAAGAATTTGGGTTTAAATTAAAAATTAATCTCAATTACTTAAAAAAAAAGCCTTGAAATATTTCACTCTATATGTAATGAATCTTTAAGAGTTTAACTTTTCTGAAATAAGTGAAAGAAAACAGATTATTCTCACCCAGAAATTATAAATTTGCAGATGTTGCTGTACCGTCTCAACATTCAAGGGATACCATTCCTCCTGTAGAAAAGATCCCATAAAAAAACCCTGACAATTCGCCGTATTTCTTAAGTTTGACCTGCATAACGTGGATATTTCAGGGTCAAGGGACGAAAGGAAACACTGATGCAAAATTCTGCATATATCTATTGTCCCAGGAATACACAGAGTCCACTGTTTACATTTAGTCCATATAATCCTAACATAAGAGGCTGAGGACGCTAAAACTGTCAGCTCCTAATAAATGTGTCCTTGTATTCAAATAATAGTAAACTCCTGTTTCTTAGCGACTGCTCTCTCTCTCGAATGAGGTGGGAAATCACGTCCGAAAATAAGGAATATAGAGAAAACAGACTTTTATTGCTTTTTTTATTAGGATCGTGAATCGCTCCATTACATACTGACATCTGGAAACAGGTTTCTAGGTTGAGTTGCCCTGAATATTATGCTGCAGGATGTAAACCACTTTACTGGAAACCAGAAGGGAAACGGGGAGATCTAACGCCAACTTTACCTTTGGAATGGAAGGAGATGAGGCAGTCACAGAGGGGCCATTTCTCCACAGGTTCCTCCAGAACCACCTCCTCAGGAAAGATGACGACATCGATGTAGTCAAACTTACACAGTCTCTCCAGGATCTGAGTCATGGGCTTTGATTTGGACTTTCTCATCATTGCACATATGCCCACCACGATCTGTCGCTCTGATGGCTGGCAGACGACATGAGAGAAGGAAAGGAGGACAAACCCGACCAGCTTTGTTACAAAGTTCAATCAGAAAGTGTTCATTATTTATGGCTTTCAGAGGCAATCAAAAACGGATAAATAAGACTTAGATAAATTTTGTTTTGTACAGCTTTTCAGAAATTAAATGATAATTTCCTTTCCTTAAAGTGCAGCAGTGATCCTATGTAAAAAGTGTAGGGAAAAAAATGGTTGATAACCATTTATTCAAGGCATTGTGTGTGATGGTAAAAAATAGAAAAAATAAAACATATTTGTTTTAAAACTATCTTTAAGTTGTTTAATTAATTTTTGAAATGTATTTATGAGTATTAACCTAACATAACTGTAATGGTCGATGACTGTTAAAGTGAAACGGTCGCTATATCAAGGCTGACCACTAGATGGCAGTGACTGGAACACAAATATTTAACAATGTAAACGAAAAAAACTTTAGCTCTACTTTATATGTGAACTTTTGAAAGAATTACAGCACAAAAAATGTTTTCATTCTAGAGGACAATCTAATTCTAATCCCACCCAGATTACACATTTCATTTAATCCGACTATGTCGCTTCAACTACTGTTGTAATTCCCCCGCTTTGGGAAAATAAAGGATTGCGTGAGTTCCAAGCTTTATAGAGTCGCTCAATAAACCCTGACCAGGCTGGTCAGCCAGGCAGACAATGACCCCAATGGCTGCCTTTTCTAAGGCATAGGCCAGTATCGGGTGTTGCAGGCTACAAAAGACCCCAACTCTCCCCATTCCTGAGGGGCGGACCTGTTCTTCTGCTTCTATTTGCATGTTTTCTAAGCCATTACAAGGCTTAGTGGGGCTACTCTATAAAGCTTGAATCTCAACGCTAATTCAGACATTTTGAATTGATAAAGCTTCCTGAATGGGATGCAAAATGTTTTCAAACTTGGAAAACAAAGTCCAGTGGATCGTTTTTTCAACTTTTTTGGAATGATTATTCTGCATTGATCTAAATATAGAGAGAGGTTGGCTGGGGTGGAAAATCCTATGCAGAAAATGTGACACTGATTTAGTTTCTTCTCATCCGGGAGGGAGGTTTTAATCTATTCTGCGACTTTCTTTTAAGATTAGCAAACTCCTCTGTCTCACCACTCCTGCAGCATGGAGATTAGTCCATTATCAGATCATTAAATATGCCATTTTTCTTCTGATAGGCCTGAAAATGTGACCATCTAAGCCTAACTGAGTGAAAGACCCACATGTTCACTGATCCAGCCTCTTTGATTATGATGGGATTCTGCTCCTCTCATTTCAAACTATCCAAGTGATTAAACAGAAAGACAACTGATGTTTATGAGTGATCTAAAGGATAAACAGGTATGCATCACTGCTCTGCACCAAACGCAGCTTTTAAATCTAGCTTCCATTACTTTATTCTCCTGTTACAATTCCTCTCCGTTTGGTTTTAGATAAATCTTGCCACATTATGTTTAATGACATTTCATTGCCAACTATGTGCTGTTCTTTTCAGCATGTTCAAAGCACAACATCAAAAAATAACTAAATAACAGCCTTAAATCCCATTTTTTTCCTATTACGTCCACATTTAACTTACCGACTCGATTTCATCGTCCTCCATGTCCTCCTGTCGAAACATCTCGTTCTTCATACCAGCCTCCATTTGGCCCATGCTTTGCTCATCCTCTTTACAGCCAATCACAAAGCGGGGCACGCTTCTCCCACCGACCCCGGTGCCTTACAGGGCTTGGACATCGTAAACCAGCTGAAACATGGCATGCTCAAAACATAAACTGGAGCTGTGAGAGAAAAAAAGACAAGAACAGAAACTTGTTAGGCAACCAGTTCAGCTGATCAGACATCTTAGACACCACTGGGTTGCTACACTTTTTATTTGTGAATTTTGATTGATTACTCAGGGAACAGAATTGTGGATTTAAAAAAAAAAATTACATTAGTCAACAGTAAGAAGTGTAGTCAAAAATATCAATACAGAGACGCACTGAATGATACTGAAATGCTCAATCCAACTACAATATTAACTTGGCATGGTGCCCAGCCCAAGGACAAGTGTGTTTTGCATATTCTTTACAATCCTAAATTTTGAGATTTCTGGATTATATACATTAAAAAGCCTTGGTTATTTTGCACACGTACATAATAGGGATGGAACGGTTTATGAAAACCATCCAAACCGTTCGGTTCGGTTCGCGTGTGTTGCGTTCGGTTCATGCACTGCTCCTTTTTCTCATAGGCAAAGCGTTTACACTCCAGAGCAGAAAGTGGCGCTACTGCGACCAAAGCCAACCACCAGTAGTAAACAAGAAGAAGAAGAAGCGAAGCAGCGTAGCCGGGTGTAGCAGAAAAAAAATCAGTTGTTGTGGAGAATTGTGTGGGTATGGCGAGTGGGAAAGAACAGGAGTTGGAAGACGCGCCAGCAGCACTTTATAGGTCTGCTGTATGGGACCGCTTAGCATTTAGAGTGACCTACGATGACGGCGGAAAGAAAGTTGTGGATAAAAGTGCAACAGAGTGCAAGCATTGTGCAACACGTTGTTTATGCTAACAGCAACATGACCAACATGTCATGCTAACCCCGAAATCCCTCATACTCCATCAGCGCTCCGCCCCGCTGCGCTCCAGACCGCCTGGTCAAAGCAAAGCCTACAGCCTCCACTGTGGCTCCCGTCCGCTCCGCTCTGAGTCCCTTTGAGATCGTAGAGAGCATGCGCTAGATGATTAAATTCAAAGCAGCAAATCATCCAGAAATGATCCAGGGTTTCTGCGAATCATTAAAAAATAATAACAATTCATTAATTTTTTGGGATTATAATCAATTTTATAAATTTTTATTTTTTCATTTATTTTTATAATTTTTTTTTCTTTCTGTGTAACAATAAACATATACCGAACCGAAAACCGTGACCACGAAACCGTGAATCAAACTGTGGATTTTGTGAATCGTTCCACCCCTTATATATAACTAGCATCTGTTAATCCATGTTGAGAGCAAAGGTAGTTTTTAAACTTTTAATTCTTCATTTTTTGATCCCCATGGTAATAATAATTATATAGAGTATTTAATATTTTCTGGGTATCAAAATTGAGTTTGTAATTTTAGTATAGCGACAACCCTTATCAACACCTTTGTTGATATATGTTGGAGCTCGGCCTGTTTCTCTGACTGTGACTGGCTGGATGTGCTCTCTTCGTCCTCTGGCATGGGAGCTGGCTCGGTGCTCGTCTGCCTGGCTGTGTGTTTCCTGGATGGTTAGTGTGAGGGATTGCTGAAGAGTCAACGACTGGATGATCTGGTGAACTGTAAACCGCCTTGAGATGAAATGTGTTGTAAATTGGCGCTATAGAAATAAACTGAATTGAACCATAACAGCTAACATATTTAACACAAACGAAAAAGTGTAAAATAATTCAGAAGAAAAGACATGTAGACCCATAAACATAGGAACACACAGAAATAGGAAGTGATCCAAAAGAGCAACTAAAAAAAGAAACTGAAACACTTCACGGACAATATTGACTGGATTACACAAACTGATGTGCAACAGATTTTAAAATTTGTCTCAGTCCAACATTATTTATCAAAAGTTTAAATGGAGGATTATTAACCCTAAACAAGGAGGAACATTTCCCAGGATGTGGAGGGTATACGTGGTGACTGCTTACCTGCTATTCAGCACAAACCAAATCTAACCTTCATCTCGTCACCGAGAGCAAGCCAAAGTGACATAAAGAAACTTCAGAACACAAGCGTCCACTGAAACGGCCGACAGTCAGAGGAACTTGGCTAAAATCCTTTCCACTGACAAACAGTGAGTGGAGGGGCCACTTTACAGGAGCCGTTACAGATCCTGGCAGCTAAAGAAACAGACACAATCACTCCATGTTCTGAACTTTCTGCCAGGACATACCTCATTTGGGGCTCACATGCCACTCCGCCTAACCTTGATACCCAGAAATAACTGTCCTCTGTAGAGCAGGAACAAGGAGGCGGAGCCTCATCTGGGGGTGTGTCGGGTACCCAAACGTAACTCATCACTGCTGAGCCACCAGGCGATGACAGGTGGCACTAAAGTACAGCTCCTCGGGTCACCAAACACTAACAGATAAACTCCTAAACTGCATACCTCAGCTTGATGTGAACATGGAGGGCTGTGCAAACTCTGGCTTAGTTAAACCAAGCAGAGCAGAGAGTTCAGACATGAAACAAACCGCACACCTTCACCAGCATATTCTCTACATAGAAGAAAGAGCAACACAAGCAACAAATAGAGCAGCTGCTGTTTAAAACAGTTTCAGCTTTCATTCGCTGGCTCATCATCACCACACTTTGCAAACAGTTAGGTTTACCTTACACATGTAACGAGTAGTTCTAATAATGTGATATGAAAGGCCTTTGCTGTCACTCCAGAGAAAGACACACTGACAAAGCGATGCTTGATGGAAAACCCTTCGAGATACAAACCTAATTTGTAGGACTTTCTACGCCAGTAAAGAACATTGAACACCACAGACGTTACCACCATCCAGATACTGAGACATTTTGGCTAATGAATCTACAGACTGCAAGTCCCTTAAGTTTAATAATAAAAATGACAAATGCTGGTGAAGATTCTCAGTCATCCAGGTCTTAGACATTCCAAAAAAGGTAAAAAAAAAAAAAAAAAAAAAAATCCACTGAGACGTTTAGCATCCATCCAGGAAGCTTTTTTAATTCAAAATGCCTGAATTAAGGCTGAGGTCAAAGTTTTATAGAGTGGACCAAAAAAACAAAGCCTTATTTTTTTTTGGTCCACTCTATAAAACTTCGACAGCTTCGCCAGCTGGTTATGTCATAGCGTAGATTGGCTGACGAATCTGGCATTCAGAGGACGCAGCCGCTGAATTAGCCTGAGAAATCTTTTTTAGCGGAGGGACTTTTGTTCCATTGTTGTAGAAAAATAATTTTCTTAGATTTTATTTTTCAAATAGTTTCTTTTAAACTTGTTTTTCCATTTTTTTTTTTTGGCAGATTTTATCATTTTAAAATGCTATTTTTTCAAATGATTCTTTTTGTGATAGTTTTATGAATTTTCAATTGTGTTTTATAGATTGCGTTCTTTTCCCTCCAAATCCAAACAATGTTGCTAACATTCATGCAGAAAATTAGAAATGCTTTGCTCTTTACTCCAGAGGAAAGCCTCACCCTTAAAAGGAAAGAGAATATATAAAACACAATTTGAAAAGAGTGAAATACGTAAAACTGAAAAAATATTTAAAAAAAAGAAAAAAAGGATAAAATCTGAAAAAATAGCTAATTTATTTAAAACCTTATTAAATCGTTTTTCAAAGTATGATTTCCGGATTGCATTTTTTTTTTAATTCCTACTAACAGAACATATTATTTGTTGCAAGAATTGACTTTTTTAGACCTCTTTTTCTTTTACAAACCAAGATTGACGTGACGCTCACTGAGAGACTGCGCCACCCACACAAGTTTAGCACACCCCACTTTTGACAGAAAAATATTCCACTTAATGTCTCACTGCACGAAAAATAAGAGCAAGCATGGTAAAAAAAAAAAAACAAACACACAAAAAAAAAGAAAAATTGGAGGCAGCCAAAATGTTTTATGAACTTTTCACTCATCAAAGTAACAAACTTTGGTAAATATAACAAAAAATGACAATTTCTTAAATGGGAATTATTTCTGGACGCTCTACTCGCCAATTCATGTTCTCAAGCTTATTTTTTCCTCCTGATGAAATGTTGGTCTTATGATCTGTGGTATTGTACTGCTGCAAAATGAACGCCTGATCAACCAGGCGCATACCAGAGGGTATTAGACATGGCTGCAGCCATTTACGTTCAGGGTCAGGGAAACAGCCCCAGACCAACACACTTCCTCCTAAAGGTTTAGTAAGAAAAAACTAAACTAAAAAACTAAACACAAATTTGATTCAGTCCATCATAATTTATCCAGTCATTTGATTGAGCAAAGTCTTGTTTCATGGCCCAGGCGAGACTCTGTCTTATTCTGGCCACTTAGTTATGGCTTTCTTGCTGCAGCTCATCTTTTCACACCTGCAGCCGGAAGTCAAAAATGAAGAACCTTGCTTGCCTGTGAGAATGAAAAACTTTTCCTCCGATTCATTTGTGGCTTTGGGTCTGCCAGACCTCTTCCTGTCACAGTTTCCAACAGCTCCTGAGGGCCTTTTGTCAGCAATCACTGGAACCGTGACTCTTTGCAAGGAAAGACCTGCATATTTGAGTGTTACGGTGATCCGCCTCTCTTCTATTGTGACTATTTTCACCATATCTGCAGTTCTTTCTACACTACACAATAAACATGGCATTCACAAGGGTATGCTGCAACAATGATTCCAACACTGCTTATATGCAGAAAGAGGTGTAAGAAATCAATAGAACTTGGAACAACTGGAGGAATTCATAACTGTGGAGATACAGGTCCGATCTGTTCATGGCAAGCGGCAAAAACCATATCTCTCTTTCAGGATGACATTTCTTTCTGATCGGACCGAATTAGATTACAATCTTCAGTCTGAAAATTTTACCTGAAACATTTTAGAGCTGATAAGGTCCTTAATCTGATTATTTGTGTCCTTCTAAATGTAGCTAATTTGGCCTAAAACCATTTGCAGATATTTTCCTGAAGGCAAAGACAATGAGATCAAAGATGGCCGACTAAACAGCATGTTGTGGACTTCTACAATGGCGTAAATATCTGTAAGCAGAGAGTTGCTTACGGGCCCAAAACCTCCTAGTGGCCCCATCACTGGCCATCTACGCAATAGTAGACTAGGACGTCTCTTTGCAGATCTAATGGTGCGGAAAATTCTTCTTTAACCAACTTGATAGTGAAATGACTGACCGCACTGGACCTTATTTATTCAGCACACACGGCAGATTTCAACATGATGGTGAGCCATTTAAACACGACACCAATAGCAAAGCAGACAGTGGTACTTTTAATTACTATGCTAATAACTGTTCATTAGACAGTGGGTAAAAAATACACTCATATATGTTTCAACTGCAATAAAGATCTTAAAACAACAATGTACACTCACCGGCCACTTTATTAGGTACCCCATGCTAGAAACGGGTTGGACCCCCTTTTGCCTTCAGAACTGCCTCAATTCTTTGTGGCATAGATTCAACAAGGTGCTGGAAGCATTCCTCAGGGAGTTTGGTCCATATTGACATGATGGCATCACACACTTGTAGCAGATTTGTCAGCTGCACATCCATGATGCAAATGTCCCGTTCCACCACATCCCAAAGATGCTCTATTGGATTGAGATCTGGTGACTGTGGAGGCCATTTGAGTACAGTGAACTCATTGTCATGTTCAAGAAACCAGTCTGAGATGATTCCAGCTTTATGACATGGCACATTATCCTGCTGAATGTAGCAATCAGAAGTTGGGTACATTGTGGTCATAAAGGGATGGACATGGTCAGCAACAATACTCAGGTAGGCTGTGGCGTTGCAACGATGCTCAATTGGTACCAAGGGGCCCTAAGAGTGCCAAGAAAATATTCCCCACACCATGACACCACCACCACCAGCCTGAACCGTTGATACAAGGCAGGATGGATCCATGCTTTCATGTTGTAGACGCCAAATTCTGACCCTACCATCCGAATGTCGCAGCAGAAATCGAGACTCATCAGACCAGGCAACGTTTTTCCAATCTTCTATTGTCCAATTTCGATGAGCTTGTGCAAATTGTAGCCTCAGTTTCCTGTTCTTAGCTGAAAGGAGTGGCACCCGGTGTGGTCTTCTGCTGCTGTAGCCCATCTGCCTCAAAGTTCGACGTACTGTGCGTTCAGAGATGCTCTTCTGCCCACCTTGGTTGTAACGGGTGGTTATTTGAGTCACTGTTGCCCTTCTATCAGCTCGAACCAGTCTGGCCATTCTCCTCTGACCTCTGGCATCAACAAGGCATTTCCGCCCACAGAACTGCGGCTCACTGGATGTTTTTTCTTTTTCGGACCATTCTCTGTAAACCCTAGAGATGGTTGTGCGTGAAAATCCCAGTAGATCAGCAGTTTCTGAAATACTCAGACCAGCCCTTCTGGCACCAACAATCATGCCACGTTCAAAGTCACTCAAATCACCTTTCTTCCCCATACTGATGCTCGGTTTGAACTGCAGGAGATTGTCTTGACCATGTCTACATGCCTAAATGCACTGAGTTGCCGCCATGTGATTGGCTGCTTAGAAATTAAGTGTTAACGAGCAGTTGGACAGGTGTACCTAATAAAGTGGCCAGTGAGTGTATTTGAGTATTTTATTTTTTACACTATGACTTGGAATTATGGGTAATCCAGAGCATAGATTAAAAACATAACCATTACGTAGAATGTGTTAGCAACGATGGATACAAAAAAAGAGGATTCCAGAAAAGAAAAAGGTAAGAAGAGCTGCTGGAAGAATGGAAAAAACTTCCCAAAATAAACACGTTTGTTCAAAGAATAACGAATAGGGAGAGATGGACATTGCTGCTACAGTGAGTCAAGATTGCGACCAGGAGATGAATGGAGATGATGTGTTGTGTGATTGTATACTACTGAGAATTGCATATTTGTACTTTCTTGGCCGATTTATGGAACTGTCGCTGTATCCTGAACCTTTATCATGTGTTGTACTTCATATGGGGCCCACCCAGAAAATATTGCTTACGGGCCGAATGTTCTGTCGTTAAGCCATTGGACTTTTAGGTGAGTTTACCTAAAGAATCAGAGTTAACAGTTCCCCAAAGTTCAGCGTTATCTTTATTCCCTCAAAACAGAAACAAGTAGCTTCCTTACACAGGTTCACTCTTTAAGCATCAAGTCCCCTATGAAAACTCAATATCAGAAAAACTAGTGCTGCCACAATTAGTTGAAATAATAGATTATTAAAATTCGTTTTCAGATTTTTTTTTTGTCAGCCTGTTATCGCAGTTTTATTTTGGTCTGAGCAAACGACTCATCTGAGTTCATGTAACCCCGCTCCACAGCACTAGTTTTGCTGTTCGCATATCGCTGTGGCGTCACCATCCTTTGGCCACTCCGCCAACCCCTAGTGTCGAGATATTATTGGAAGTTAAGACTAGTTTAATAATCAAAAAAATTGGTTGAAAGATTAGTCATTAGAAAGTTTGTCATTTGTGGCAGCTCTCATAAACACAAATTAAACTGATATTACATTGCAAAAAAAAGTTTTAAAAAGGTCAATATTATAAAAACCAACAAAAAAACCCCCCGAATGAAATGCCTCGAAGGCTGCATGCTTTGAAGAAACAGAAGCCGTAGATCTCTAAATCTTTGCTTTTCATTTATCACCAGCTTGTCTCCAAACAATCCTCTAAGGCAATGCTAACTGTTCTTAATACTTCCTGGATTCCAGTTTGCAAAAATGCAATACTATTAAAACTTTTAAAGACAAAATGAATTCACAAAATAAATACAAATAATAGAAAACCTGACATGGCGCTGATTATTTCCGGCAGTAAGTTATAAAGCTAACTATACCTTTTACTAGTAGTGGGGTGC